CTATAACCCTATGTACAACTATAACCCTATGTACAACTATAACCCTATGTGCAACTATAACCCTATGTACAACTATAACCATATGTACAACTATAACCCTATGTACATCTATAACCCTATGTACAACTATAACCCTATGTACAACTATAACCCTATGTACAAATATAACCCTATGTACAACTTTAGCCCCATGTACATCTATAACCCTATGTACAACTATAACCCTATGTACAACTATAACGCTATGTACAACTATAACCCTATGTACAACTAAAACACCTATGTACAACTAAACTACCTATGTACAACTATTACCCTATGTACAACTATAACCCTATGTACAACTATAGCCCTATATACAATTATAACCCTATGTACAACTATAATACCTTTGTACACCTATAACCCTATGTACAACTATAACCCTATGTACAACTATTACCCTATGTACAACTATAACCCTATATACATCTATAACCCTATGTACAACTATAACCCTATATACAACTATAACCCTATGCACATCTATAACCCTATGTACATCTATAACCCTATGTACAACTATAACCCTATGTACATCTATAACCCTATGTACATCTATAACCCTATGTACAAATATAACCCTATGTACATATATAACCCTATATACAACTATGATACCTATGTGCAACTCAAACTCCTTTGTACAAATCAAACTGCCGTGATCAGTTTATTCTCTTTACAGCAAAAATATCTATGTACTCTTATGTACAACTTAAACACCTATGTACTCTTATGTACAACTAAAACACCTTTGTACTCTTATGTACAACTAAAACACCTATGCACTCTTATGTACAACTAAAACACCTATGTACTCTTATGTACAACTAAAACACCTATGTACTCTTATGCACAACTAAAACACCTATGCACTCTTATGTACAACTAAAACACCTATGTTCTCTTATGTACAACTAAAACACCTTTTTACTCTTATGTACATCTAAAACACCTATGCACTCTTATGTACAACTAAAACACCTATGTACTCTTATGTACAACTAAAACACCTATGCACTCGTATTTACAACTAAAACACCTATGCACTCGTATGTACAATTAAACTTCTTTGTACGACTAAAACATCTATGTGAGCAACTAAAAACTCCTTTGAACGATTTAAACTCTCGCGTATAGCTAAAACTCCAATGCACAACCACAATATATGTACTTACAACCTACGTACAACTTAATCTATCACATTACGATTCCTGTATTTATTTCTATTCAGTTATGTTTGCTACGTTGATACATGTATCTAGAGGTGATTATATGACCATTTCGATAGCATACCCCTTATCACCCCGAGTGTCCTGATATCAGCCAGAGGGGCCGAAGGCCGAAGGCCCCGAGGGCTGATAAGGGGTTTGATATCAAAATGGTCATACCATAAACTTTTTATCATAATCATGTCTTTTTGATAATAAATCAAAAATCAAAACAGTAAAAACATTTGCTAGAAATGATCTGATCAACCTCACAGGGACCTGAGAATTTGTTACATCTATATTTGGACCTAAACTTAGGTGTTCGAAGGGTCGCTGTGATCAACCTAATGGCGGGGTTTTTATTTGTTTTGTTCATAACAACACATATCCTTCTATCTAGGTAAACCATTCGGAACGCATTTGTCGTTTATATTGGGAAAAATGTAGTCAGAGGGGTTCCGACCAGGGGTGCATTACGAGAAACTTATTACATGGGTGACGGGAAGTGGTATCAGAGAGATTTTGAAATTATCACACATGCAAAAATATTGATATTTCGAGAAGACATAAGATAACATTATTGAATTCTTGTCTTGATTTAAAGAAAAAGGTATTCCCACGTCCCTATGGATGCTCAGCAAGTTTTGCACCCTAAATAATTCCAATAATTTGCATATATTCGTTTTTGCATATGTTCGTTAAATGAAAACAAACATGATTTTTTTCTGTTTCAAAAACAAATTCCGTAATTCGACTTAGGAGAAAATTTCCGGCTTTTATTTTATCTATTTTCAGATTACAGGGATATTTGAAAAATAACCGAAACTATGGAAGTAATTAATGCACAAAAGTACATTTGCCATATATCCTGTATAACCACAAAACTAATCAGGGTAATCCTTTATAATTAAATTGGGAAAAAATGGACAACACATTTTAGTTGATAACATTTTAATGTTTAATAATAATTTAACAAAATAATTTTTCACACAACACAACATTGCGCAGTAATCTCATCGTCCACTAACTTCAACAAATTAGAAGTTAGAATTACAAATACCGCGCTAAAACATAAACGACGTCATCATTGTTTTGCATTTTAGTCTTTTAAAAATATCCTGATATTAGCTAGCATAACAGATATAGCCAGAATAAAATTATATAAACTTCATTTCAGTACGGGAATGAGAACGGTCATCCGCACCTACCTGAATCCGGTTCATCAAATGTCATCCCGATATCGCACAACCTTCCCTCATAGTTGGTATCACAATGACATCTTTCGGAGCCGTTTGAAAACTTTTCGCATATCCCATGCTCTGAACACTGCAAGCAACATTTTTCTTTACATTCATCTCCAAGTCCACCATCATCACAAAGACATTGAAATGATTTGTTGGTTTGGTCAATGTAACAATAGCCGTATACACAAAGGAAACTCTCACAATTCCTTTCTTGAAGCGGTCTCATTCTGTAGTTTGGCGAGCAAACGTGAACTGTAGAAGGAGTAATGGCAGATGTAAGGTCGAGGTCAGGAAATAGGGTTATTACAGATGCATCACTTGGCATTTTAGCTATATTGCTGTGTGACGTAGCTATAC